GACCGTTTCCAGGTCCAATTTCAAACATAAAGATAGCACTCAGCTGAAGTCACAAAGCAAAGTCTCATTAAATTGGGAGTACTGGAAATACTGGTTCAGGAACCAGGATAAACAGTACTCAGGGTTGCAGTCCAAAAGTCGAATGCTGAGGGTTCATGGAGTAATGTTCTAAGATTCAAGTGTACAAAGCGTAGTCATAGTTCCAAAGGTCAAGCCAGATAATCCAGAATTCAAGGGAAATCCAAAATCTAGAGTCAACAGTCAGTCCAGTGATTCAAAGTATATCAAGGTCCACGATAATAATAATAATAAAATTATTATTCAACTTTATTTGTGCCCCGCTAGCATCTCCCGAAGGACTCGATGCGGCTTACACATGCCAAGGCCTCAACACAACAACAGCATAACAACAACAATACAATTCAAAGCAAATCAAAAAACATAAAGTAATAACAACAACATTACAGCATAACAGTAAAAACCAGGGCCGGGCCAAGTGATGGATACAGATTAAAAAGTGCTGGGTGTGACAGGTGGATTCCTGGGCAAGTGCAATGTGCAGGAAGTCTTAAAATTCTAATAAAGTGCTTCTGGGGCAAATGCTGGAGTTTTCCTATTCCGGAAAGGCACATCGGAACAGCCAGGTCTTTGTTGGGGTTCAGTTTGAACCTGAGTTTGAACCTGATTCTCTGTTTGTACTTCCTGATGCTAATGAAAATGTACTTCCTGATGTCAATGATCCTGAAATTAGTGAGGAAGAAACTTCTGCAGATTTGGAAAATGAAAGTACCAGTGTTCATGAGAATGTTTCAGAGGGAAGCCATGACCTTTCACTCCTTTCTGCACCTGGGATCCCTAATGAGAATAGAAGGGGGCAGATCTGGCAAGACAGGAGTGAATCACTCAGCTTGCAAAGATTAAAAGAAAAACAAACAAGGCCTTCAAAGCAGGGAGGCGTATCACGGAACCAATTCTTCGGCTTTAAGTGCCTTTCGCTGGGCTGACTTTCTCAGTTCAGGCATTGTTTCAGATTGATGAGTACCTTGGCAATTCTCCCGGTTCCCTTGGTCTTGAGAAATTTCTAGGACACCAAGTACAGTTAGTGGATAGCTAACAGGTTCCAGTGTTTTACAGTGTGGCTTTGGGTTTTGATCTTGTTCATGGAAATTCATGTTTGCTGATTTTGCTGTGGCTTTTGACTTTGCATTTTTCCTTTATTTTGTAACCATTTTTCTTCAATAAAAAAGGATTGTTTTTTCACAGTCAAGTGTGGTGGATGGTTATCTTAGGGCCTCGTTTCCTGCTCTGGGTTGCAACAGTCTTCAAGCTCTTCCTAAAGACAGCCAACGTGGGTGCTAGTCTGATGTCTTTGGGGAGGGTATTCCAAAGTCGGAGGGCAACCACAGAAAAGGCCCTGTCCCTCGTCCCCACCAAACGCGCCTGCGATGCAGGCGGGATTGTGAGCAGGGCCTCTCCAGATGAATGAAGGGAGCGCGTGGGTTCATAGATGGAGATGTGGTCACGCAGGTAGGCAGGTCCCAAACCATTTAGGGCTTTGTAGGTAAGTACCTGCAGCTTGAATTGGGATTGGAAGGTGAACGGCAGCCAATGGAGCTCCTTGAACAGGAGGGTTGGCCTCTCTCTGTAAAGAGCACCAGTTAACATCCTGGCCACCGTCCGTTGGACCAGTTGGAATTTCCGAGCCGTTTTCAAGGGCAGCCCCACGTAGAGCGCGTTACAGTAATCCAATCTAGAGGTGACCAAGGCATGGACCACCCTGGCCAAATCAACCTTTGCGAGGTACGGTCGCAGCTGGTGCACAAGTCTTAGTTGTGCAAAAGCCCTCCCAGACACCGCCGACGCCTGAGCCTCAAGCGTAAGTGATGAATCCAAGAGAACTCCCAAACTGCGGACCTGTGGCTTCAGAGCATACAAGATACAAGAGCAACCTGTGACTTCAGGGGGAGTGTAACCCCGTCCAGCACAGGTTGCCACCCTATACCCCGGTCTGGTTTACGATTGACCAGGAGGACCTCTGTCTTGTCGGGATTGATCTTCAGCTTGTTCGTCCTCATCCAGATCGCCACAGCAGCCAGGCTGTGATAAGATACAGGAGCCACAGAGTCCGCAACAAGATTATCACCATGGTTCAAGGTTCAGCAATGTTCAGCACAAGAGTTCGGGATACAGTTTGGGAATAACACCATCCGCCAACCTGGGGGGAAACCCACCGGCGTCCAAAGCCAAATATTACAGATATTTTCCTCCCCCAAGAGCAGTCTCTAGTTCTTAGGGTTCTTACAGACAGATCAGTCTGACCTTTAGAGCCAGGAGGGAAATTAACCCCTTCCATACCCAACCTGCTAATCATATTCCTATATTAATTACCCCCTGACTGCCATGCATTATATACACTAACCACCACCAACTGCTGAGCATGCAACTGTAATAACCACCATAAACTGCGGGACATGGCACAGATTTGATCTATACGCTGCTGATATCTGGTGGTGACTCATCCATGGATTCTCTCCAGAGATTAGAAACTGTATTTGATAGATTTAACTTACCAGGTTGCCGTTGTCTCCTCCTGATGAACCCACTTTACAGTGGGTGGGGAGTCGGAAAAACCCCACAGGGACACACACAAGCATGTTACATTATTTAGGTTTCCCCCCAAAAGCAAGCGCTGAACTGCATATGCGCAGTCCTGATTTCCCAGCGCATCTTAGTTGTTTTTAATATA